AATAATAATGATAATAATAATAATAATAGTAATTCCAATAACAATGATGAGAAATATAATAACAATAATGATAATAATAATAATAATAATAATAATAATAATAATAACAATAATGATGATGATGATAATGATAATGATATACCGTATTCATTTTGACAAATGTAGAAAAGGTATGAATGAGAATGAATATCTTCACAATAGAAGAAATATATTTCTGACGAAGATATAATCGAAACTTGTCAAATACATCTCTTGTAGATATTCATTCTCATTCATACCTTTTCTACATAATAATGATAATGATAATAATAATAATGATGATAATAATAACAACAACAACAACAATAATAATAATTATGATAATATTAATAATTATAACAATAATAATAATGTTAATATCAATGATAATAATAATAATGATAATGATGATGATGATAATGATAATAGTAATGATAGTGATAATTATGATACTACTACTACTACTGTTACAGCTGATTATGATGATAACAACAACAATAACAACAACAACAATGATGATAATAATAACAATAATAATAATAATTATAATAATAATAATAATAATTGTTATTGTTGTTGTTATTATTATTATTATTATTATTATTATTATTATTATTATTATTATTATTATTATTATTATTATTATTATTATTATGATAATGCTAACAGTACCAATGATAATAATAATGACAATGATTATAACAATAATGATAAAAGTAATAATAATAATGATAATGATAATACTCATAATAGCTATTATAATAATAATAATAAAAATTACTACAATAAAAAATAATGAAAGTGATGGTAGTAGTCGTAATAGTGGTAGTAGCAGTAATGATAATTGTAATGATAATAATAATAATGATAATAATAGTAATAATTATGATAATAATACTAATACTAATACTAATAATAATAATTATAATAATAATGATAATTATTATTATTATAGTAATAATGATGTTAATAATAATAATAATAATAATAATAATAATGATAATAATAATAATTATTATTATTATTATTATTATTATTATTATCATAATTACTATTATTACTATTGTTATTATTGTTATTATTATTATTATTATTATTATTATTATTATTATTATTATTATTATTATAATGATAGTAACAATAATAACAATAATGATAACAATGATCATGATAATGATAATGATTATAAAATTCATGATAACAATAATAATAATAATAATAATAATAATAATAATAATAATAATAATAATAATAATAATAAATAATAATGATAATACTGATAATAATGATAATAATAATAATAATAATAATAATAATAATAATAATAATAATAATAATAATAATAATAATAATAATAATAATGATAATAACAATAATAACAATAATGATAACAATGATCATGATAATGATAATGATTATAAAATTCATGATAACAATAATAATGATAATAATAATAATAATAATAATAATAATAATAATAATAATAATAATAATAATAATAATAATAAATAATAATAATAATACTGATAATAATGATAATAATAATAATAATAATAATAATAATAATAATAATAATAATAATAATGATAATAACAATAATAACAATAGTAATAATAGTAATTATAATAATAATAATAATAATAATAATAATTATTATTATTATTATTATTATTATTATTATTATTATTATCATTATTACTACAATGATAATAATTATCATTATTATTATTATTATTATTATCATTATTATTATTATTATTATTATTATTATTATTATTATTACTGTCATCATTATTATTATTATTATGAGAATTGTAATAGTAGTAGTAGTAGTAATAATAATGATGATAATAATGGTAACAACAACAACAACAATATTAATAGCATTATTAATGACAATAATAATGATGATAATGATAATGGTAACAACAACAACAATATTAATAGCAGTAATAATAACAATGATAACAACAGATCAGTCAATGAATAACATATACCATCACAATAATTATTATTCTTTTATGATTTAGGAAACATTTGGTTTTGTCCTTCCAGTATTAGTTTCCTCACTTCTATAGTATGAATACAGGACGTAAAATATATTGATCTGATAGCTGGCAATCAAAATGTAATGAATCTTATATAAAAATATTATATCAAAAATAAATTAAAATGGTGACCTTACGCCGCAAATTGTAGTCGATGGCAACTCCCGCGCGCACGTAGGCCAGCATAAATGTTTTGCATCTACGACTAACCTGGAAAAGACAGTGACTCCTAATATTAATCGGAAAATGTAAGTGGTAATTACCACGCACTTATGAAGTATATTCTTAAGATAGATAATCTGTTTCTATCACAAACTTGGCACATTCTTCTTGGGATATGAATAGCCTTTGTGGAGGTGTCTAGCAAGAATCGCTGAGGACGTTGCCAACCACAGGTATATATAGGGGGTAGCTTACGTGACGAAGTTAGTTGCAAGGAAACGTTAACGTTCTTCATATAAACGTTCTTCCAAGTTATAACCTGTGTTCCACGTTATTTGACATAACAAAGAATTTTATCTTCGGTGTTGACAGTTCTTCCATGAACATCTGGCATTCAAGCGGCACTCCTTGAAGAAAGACGCGACAGTTCAAGAATATCAGAAAGTCTGACGTTTTCCGTCGCTCGCAAGACCGCTCTCAGCTGGGAAACGTCTGTTGGAGACCTGATAACCCTCACCAATTTCTACTCACCTTAGCCGAAATGCCTCCTGTCATTCAGAGCCCAGCATTCACCCTTTCCCCAATCACTGAAGAAGGTAAGCTTAGCTTCTATACTTCTATGACGCTAAGATTAAAGTTCGCAAGGTTGCATTTAACCATAAAAGTCCCTGTCGTAGAGCTGGAACAGCAAAGTATACCTTTATATTTATCAATGTATTTCCTCTTATTTATATCCACTAGCCTTTGAGTATGAAACTATTTTATAATTCTATATCCCTGTGGTACAATACCGAATTAGGATATAAATACTTTTAACGGGTAAACGTTGTTATTCCAAGCTTGCCTTCACCAAGGCCTTTCTCAAAGCCAAGCTAACGGGGCTAAGTCAGCAGGTTTTACCTAATTGCATTGGAGTACTGTAGTCGGCTTAAACACCAGCAGTATTTGGTGGATTTTTTATTTGTTTGTGTCTCCTGAAGATGGGTCTGGTTTCGTGATGAGGAAAGTTATCGGTCATTTATTATCGTTACAGGGTGGAGTGAAGGACAGTGATATAGATAGCATAACTTGAGGTTCTATTATTTTGATGACGCTCGTGTGTAGTGATTGGCTTGGGGTTCGTGGTTTTCACCTCTCTCTTCCCCTTCTGGCCCGTTCTCTCCTATTTCCCTTTCCTTTTCCTAATTTTTCCCGTCCGTTTTGTCAATCCCTTCCGTTGGATCCTTTCCTCACCTTACCTCATGTTCCTTCCTTTCGGTCCTTCTCCTCTTTCCTCCCCTCACACCCACCCTTATTCTCTCCTTTCCTATTCTCTCTCTTTCCCCCTCATTTCGCTTCTCCCCCCCCCCCCCGTCTTTCTCTCTCCTTTCTCCCCACTTCTCTCATCTCTTATCCCTCCTCCTCCTCTTCCCACACCCTCTTCCCTTATATTTTCTCTCCTTATCACAACGACCTATCCACCCCCAACCCCACCACACTCAAAACAGGATTACGCACATTTCTTCCTTGTACGTTTGAACTCGAGTGTCCTTGGCGGTCCACCATGCGTTCACCGGGCCTGGCACTTACTTTGTTCGTGTTAATGGGCGAGGGGGAGGCAGATGGACTAAGTGAGGTTTAGGATGATCGCGATAATGTAAGGTTTTGCGATGCAGTTCAATTATTGTGTGGTGTAGTTCCCTTTCTGCCTTCCCCCCTTCCTCTTTTCCCCCTTCCCTTACCTCCTGATGTTCTTTCTCCCATCCCTTCATCTCTTCCTTCCATCTTCCTTCCTCTCACCTTCTCTTCTCCATCTCCCCTTTTGCCTGCTCTCTTCCACTTCTCTCTACACTTCTACCCTCTCCTCCTCCTCCTCCCTCTCCTTCTCCTCCTCCTCCTCCTCCTCCTCCTCCTCCTCCTCCTCCTCCTCCCCCCTCTCCCCTCTCCTCCTTCTCCCCCTCCCCCCTCTCCTCCTCCTCCCTCTCCTCCTCCTCCCTCTCCTCCTCCTCCCTCTCCTCCTCCTCCTCCTCCTCCCCCCTCCCCCTCTCCTCCTCTCCTCCCTCCCTTGACCCCTATATTCCAGCCACCCCAACCCCTTTCTCCCTCTTCCTCCCATTCTCCCTCACTCCCCCCCCCCCTTCCTCCATTTGGCCCTCAGCCTCCCTTAATCCAACCCTTGCTTCTCTCTCTCTCCCCCCTCTCCCCCTACCCTGCTTTTGCTTCGCCCTCCCCCCTCTCCTCCTTCTCCCCCCTCCCCCCTCCTCCTTCCTCTCCTCCTCCTCCTCCTCCCTCTCCTCCTCCCCCCTCCTCCCTCTCCTCCTCCTCCACCTCCTTCTCCTCCCTCCCCTCTCCCTCCATCTCCTCCTCCTCTCCTCCCTCCCCTGTCCCCCGATATTCCAGCCTCCCTACCCCCTTTCTCCCTCCGTCCCCTCTTCCTCTCATTCTCCCTCACCCCCCCCCCTTCCTTTATTTGGCCCTCAGCCTCCCTTAATCCAACCCTTACTTCTCTCTCTCTCTCTCTCTCTCTCTCTCTCTCTCTCTCTCTCTCTCTCTCTCTCTCTCTCTCTCTCTCTCTCTCTCTCTTCCCCCCCTCTCCCCCTCCCCCCTCTCCCTCCCCTATCCTGCTTTTGCTTCGCCCTCACCCCCTCCCCCCCTCTTACCGACGCCACGCACAAAACAAGTTTCTACGTACATCCTCCTCCTCCTCCTCCTCCTCCTCCTCCTCCTCCTCCTCCTCCTCCTCCTCCTCCTCCTCCTCCTCCTCCTTACACGTCGGAAAGCACTCGCCGCTGTTCACTCATTGGGCAAGACAGCGTGTTATGCGTCTCATTTCGTCGCCTGCGGGAAAATGTCTTACTTTTTGTGTCTTTGCTATTCGTTTTTTTTTTTTTTTTACTTTTATTATGGATAGATTTTTTTGTTATTTTTTTACTGTTGTTGTTGTTCTTTGTTTATTTTTTTCTTAATTCGTGTATTTTGTTAATTGTCCACACAGCGCTTAATGTTCTAACGAAATGGCAAAGGTGATGCTGAGGGCGCGAGAGAATGGCAGAGAAGAGTCGCGGAGGTTCAAGGGGGGGGGCGGGGCGGAGGGGGGCGAAGGGGAGTTGCTGGGGGCCTGGTAGCGCTGGACACTGGATGATTCTGGTTCGGAGCAGATTTTCGCATATATTTAAATATGTATGTATGGGTACCGGGGAGGGGGGGTGCGAGGAATGCAAAAATATTTTGTAACTGGTTGATTTCAGTTGAGTTGAGAGAAAATCTTGTTCTAAGCAGCCATTGCTATTTGGTAATGAAGTGTCATCATCGTTTGAGGATAAAGAAGCATGCATACGGTTGCGTTCAGTTTTTCTCGTTTTTTTCCTTGATATGATCAAGAAGTTTCATTCTTCTGTGAAGTATTTTGTGTAATGTACATTTCTGAAACGAACACACGCTCAAGCACTCACACGCACACACATACGCACGTACGCACACATACATGCACACACAAACGCACGCACGCACACATACATGCGCACACGCACACCCACACCAAAAAAAGACAGTTTGTTATGTGTAATGTAGAATACACTGTACGTCTTGGTATATCTGATTTGTTTGTTTTTTACACAGCTACATACTATGCGCATATGTGTGGATATACAGGACATATGCCTGATGAAAGAAAAGAACCTTGTCCAAACGAGACCAGTCAGCTGTAAACTTTTTGAAGAATCTGTTGGTACAATCACTAAGGCGGGGCTTTAATACACAGAGAACCTAGGGAAGCTACGATAACCATAGACTTCAAAAGAAATAAAATAAAAAAAAAATGAGGAAGAGCATCAAACTTAAACAAAGAAATTAAGTAAACAACATCTCATGAATAACCACAGACACGCTTCCTTGTATATTGTCCGAGGTCTTTGTCATCGGAACATATTGACATATCCTGGAAGTATGAATGAAACAGTCGCAAATGTCGAAGAGATAAAAAGGAAATTGAATATTAATTAGATGAAGATGGAGGTTAGATTTATAGTCAAAGTACTCACTGCTACTGGTGAATAAAGTAATGTATTTCATTAGTCAAACTAGGAGAAGGGAAAATCCAGAATAGATTCACAAGATCATTTGATCAGGTTTAAAATCGAATCAATTTTCCTATTCACATTAAAGAGACCAATTAAGCGCGTCCTTAATCAATATTCAAATCGACATTGAGGAAACCAGACCCATTGAATAAGTCAACTTTCGATTCTCAAAGCACCCTAGTCTACCTTGAGTCTCCTAAAGAAATCAGTGAATGCTATTAACCTCCAAACTAAATACTCTTTACCTCTTCGATTAGTTAAAACGCCATTAACCTCCAAATTTAGTGAGTACCTTAAAATCAAGCTGGCGCCAGACTCGTTGTGATCTCGAGGGCGTAAACGTTTCCATTTGCCAACACATTCTTTGAGTCTTGCCAATTTTCACGTGCAAGATTTCTGAGGTCTGTGTGTGTGTGTCTTTTTCTTTTTTTTTCTTTTTTTCTTTTTTTTTGGGGGGGGGAGGCATCTAGTGATCTTTTGGGTGCGGGAGACACTAGTTCAGAAGAGGAAATAACAAGGTTTTATCCCTGTCTTTTGTTTTTCTTTATTTTTATTTTATTTTTTTCTCATTTTCAAGTTTTGTTGAATGAATGTAACTTTACGATTAGTGTAGTAGTATGTTTTTGAAGTAAGGAAATTGAAAGAAAAATTATTCGGCGTCACGTTTTTTTTTTTTTTCCGTTAACAATAACTATTCTATTCTGATATTTGTAAACAGGTTAGGTGCAAGTTGTGTCTGCTTTCGGTTAGCTCTTCCGCAGCATTTGGGTATCATATTCGCAGTATCGGTTTCTCTGACGTTTGTTAATTTCGCAGTTTATAGATATATACTTTTTTTCTCTCTCTGCTGCACTACCCGGCAGATTGTTTTTTTTCCTGTTCCTAGGTTTAAGTTCAATCAGTTGTTTGGTAAATGATTCAACCTGATAGTTTAAAAGAGAAAATAAATGGCGTCGCAGAACATATGGTGAATGTGCGCCGTTGGTTAGAGGGAAAACTCGTTTCCTGATTGTTTACGACACGCCAGTCGGGCGGCAGGATGGCGCCAGACAGACGCTATGTATTAGTTCTGGCTTAGAATTTAGTGTTTTTTTCTCTCTTTCTTTTTTTTTCTTGGGATTCTTTGGCAACTGTGGTCCACTATCTATTTTTTGGTGTGTATTTATTTTTTTTTACTATTTTTTCGTCTTGGGTTTTTGAGGCGAGACGGGGAGAACGCAAAAAATGTCATTATCGGAGAGTAGTGATGACGATACGTAGAGAGAGAGAGCGAGAGAGAGAGAGAGAGAGAGAGAGAGAGAGAGAGAGAGAGAGAGAGAGAGAGAGAGTTTGAATTATCGTACGACGCATCCTCTGGGATGCCCTGACTAATACTAATGTGCGATACTTAGGGAGAACGTGCAAAACTTTCAAATTTAGGTCTTGTGCGCTTTACCTGCCTCGAGGGAGGGAGGGGCGGGGCCGGGTGGTATGGTGGAGGCTGCAGAGGTGGAAGCCTTGATGCTCGGCCTTGACAATGCTGGCAGCAAGCTCGTTCA